GGAATTTCAAAACGTTTTTACTCCTATTTAGGACAATTTCTGATTAAATAAAAGTCTAACATATATCGTGTGTAGTACGTAGTACTCCGTAATATATACTACCTTCGTTTTTAAATTAATGCAACATGTTGAATTTTACACTATTCACATATACTATTTTGACTATTTTTTATTTATTAGAATGTTCTTACTTGGATTGTAATTTACTGGTCTGGTCTGTTTAAGTTTGGTCTGATTTGGTCTGGTTTGAAATGGTCTGATCTGGTAAATGTCTCGTCTCTGTAGATTTTATAACTACGGAAGTCTGGTCTCGTCTAGTCTCATTTGGTCTGTTTAAGTCGGTTCTAATCTGGACTGAAAACAATCCAAATAAAAACATCCTTAATATATTAATTTTTTTTTATGAAAAAATATTGTTACATTTGTCTTTAAATTTTCAATTTAATGTTCAAAGTTGTGTCTGACAAGTGTGAAGTGTTGACCGTTGCATTTATTTTAGAGCGGAGGAAGTATCTATTTAGCCATACATGCAAATATTCCTAATACTCGTTTTTTAAGAAAACAATCACCGTAGCTCTCAAACTCGATTGTACAAAATTAAATGTAGCTAATTCAATTGGTCATTAAATTCTTACGTTTTTTATATTAGCTGTGCGTTTCAAATTATTTAATTGCGTTCGTACAGTGACATGAATATTTTGACCTATTTATCGTCATCCCAGCATATAATTATTATTATTATTATTATTATTATTATTATTATTATTATTATTATTATTATTATTATTATTATTATTATTATTATTATTATTATTATTATTATTATTATTATTATTATTATTATTATTATTATTATTATTATTATTATTATTATTATTATTATTATTATTATTATTATTATTATTATTATTATTATTATTATTATTATTATTATTATTATTATTATTATTATTATTATTATTATTATTATTATTATTATTATTATTATTATTATTATTATTATTATTATTATTATTATTATTATTATTATTATTATTATTATTATTATTATTATTATTACATATTATTATTATTATTATTAGTGAGTATATTATTGTTAGTATACGCCTTTATTATTGGAGTACTTGCCATACGAACTTACGAAGTGTAATATTGCCAAAATACAAAAATACATTTTTCTTAAAACAAAATTAAAAAAAGTAACCGATTATTTAATACAACATTTATTAGTCCAATATATAATAATTATATTCCGTATTTACTCATACATACATACATACATATGGTGTATAAAACAACAACAAAAATTACTAGCTAGCACAGAGCGATTGACCTCGGCCAAAATAACAAATACATTTATTTTTTATCCCCACACACACACATATTCATTTAAATATTCATTTAAGGTAGGCCTAAAATTAAAATTTTAGGTCTCTTTCAGTTGAGAGACTTCCGGGATAATTTTTTTGATGAAATTTTGTTAGAATGTTCTCCATCAAGTATATATTATACCTACCGAATTTCATATTAAGATTTAATCAGGAAGTCGCTTAAATAATTTCTGTAAATTTGGAGAGTTTTTATACACATAATATGAATTTTTTTTCAAAATTCAATCAGGAAGGCAGCCAAATGATTTTTGAAAGTTAACTGCGTTTTATATGTAAGGTAACTAAGCGGCCAACTTGGAACACGTACATCCCTTACTAGGAATGACAACGGGGCGGGTTTGGGGTGACAGTTCACTCCCCCATCCCCGCCCCATGTCTAACCCCCCCATCCCTGCACCCAGTGGCGGATTTACTATGGGGGCAGTGGGGGCAGCTGCCCCCTCTCAACCCCCACCCTACCCCTATATATATTTAATTTAAAATTATATTTATATGCTAAATATACACATTATATACCGTAAGTACGAAGGTTTGACCCAAAAGCGTGTTTGGCCTTGCGGATACAGTGTCCAATGTGTGTGTCATTGTCCCTAGTATCAGGGGTTTGAAACCCATGTCCATCCTTTTTCCATTCCTTTTCTTTTATCCTCTTTCATTCCTATTGTTTTAAGTCATTTTACATAATTCTATCAATTTTTCTCAAATTTGAAAGATTCAACTACTTCATTAAAATTTTGTTTACCATACTTTCTTTGTTCTTTTTTAATTGTACCGATTCACTTTTCACGTTTGTCAATGCACAAGTTTGACCATTAATATCTTTCAATCCTTATTAATAAAAAATTAAAAAAAAAAATCTGATTTTGATAATTTAAAATGAGAGAAATTAACAATATTTTTCAAAAAATTAATTTGTTATAAATTAATAAATAAAATGTAATCAAAGTAAAATATGTGAACAGTGCAAAATCACCAACGTTGCAACTAAAAGAAAATGAATGTATTATAATTTGTGATTTTGCAATTACATTTTTATACTAAATAGAAACTTATTTTTGGATATAATTGTGCATTCAAATTTTACATTAATACTAAATAAAAACAATATTCGTCCCTTATTCAACTCATCTATTTTTCTAACATATTTTAGAAAATTAAAAACTTTATGACTAATTTATTTATATCCAACTTCACAAAAAAATCTTATTGCATTCAACTGAATGTGTCATGATTGAGAGAATATGTGAAGTAAATTCGCCCCCACTCACAATAAATTCTGGATATGCCACTAAGCACCATCACCTGTTACTCCCATCCCCGCCCCACCCCGTTGTCCCCCACGGGTGCCCACAGGTGCCCTCATGTATATATTTTAATTACCTTATTCGCCTATTTTTTATTTCATTTTATAGATAAATAATTATATATAGCAGTAAAATAGTTAAAGTAGATAATATTGTGTTCGATAAAAAATAATATTGTCAACTTTTAATAATTCTTCAATTTGAATAAATTCTATGAAAATAATAAAACTAAAAATATAATTAAACATATTACAATCATGTATGTCGTTCCAAATTTCTCATCAATTATAATTAGGGATGGACCCGGGCCGGGCCCGGCCGGGCTTTTTTTCCAGTTACATGAGCCCGGAACCGGCCCGGGTTGATACCGGGTCCGGGCCTAACCGGGCTGGGCCCGGTTCAATGTTTAATTTTTTTTGGCTTTCTTGTTATCCCCCGACCCCCCCCCCCTCACCCCCACCCCCCAAACCTCCCCAAAACACCCAGCCCTACCCTAGGAAAAGAAAAAAAATGAAAAAACCACAAAAAAAATGAACCGGGCCCGCCCCGAACCGCCCGGGCCGGTTCAACAAAAAGAGGGCCCGAGCCCGACCCGCCCACATGGGCTAAAAGCCCGGAACCGGCCAACTGGTCCCGGTCCGGTCCGGGCCCGCAGAGTAGCGGGCCGGTCCGGTTCACGGGCCGGTTAGGCCTGGCCCAGTCCACCCCTAATTATAATACAAGTAATCATATATTTATATTACACACATATTAATATATGTGTATGTGTTCTATTTACTCAGCTTCTCACTTTTAAAACTCTTATATCATTTATGATATAAAAAAATTGATCATTACTTATTACTCCCTCCGGTTCTAAATAATCTTTGCACTTTGATTTCACAGATTTTAAGGAAATAAATTTGACTTTACTGTAGAGTACATTGTTTGGCACTATTTTGTGTAGATTTATTTGCCAAATAAGACAAATAAGGAAGTGTAAAGTTTAATATGGGACGACCCAAAAAAGAAAGTGTAAAGATGATTTAGAACCGGAGGGAGTATTATTCTAATATAATATGTATGTAGTATTAGTTCATTAGTCGTGACAAGTAAACATACATGTATGTATGTCTATATGTATGTGCATGTTTTTGCTATATAGTACATATAATTTAATTAAATATGCTTTATACATTATTAATATATGGATGTATTATATGTATATTTGAGTATATATATATATATATAATGGGGACGGGGCAGGTGTAGTAATCCTCATCCCCACCCCATATTTTAGCGGGGTATAAATATCTCACACATCCCCGTCCCGGTCCCGCCCCATTCTCCCCCGCGGGGCGGTTCCCCATGGACCCCCACCCCCATTGTCATCCTTATCCCTTATCTTGCATTGGGTGAAGAAATTAATTGGGATCGATTTATATATCCGCATGCATGGAAGACTGGAAGAGAAACTGATAATAAAAAAACTAGCTAGGACTTAATAATTTTTTTGTTGCATGTCAAGTGTCAAAAGTTTGCACTAGCAGCTATACTAAGAGAGTGTTTGCAACAGCTTAAAAAAACATTTCTCAGCTTTTGGCTTAAAAAGCACTTATTTATCAAACACTACCAATTTTTACTTTTTCTCGACTTGCGTGTGAAAAACGCTTTTCCCTTTTCTATTACACAAAAATTAAAACACTTAATTTACCAAACACTACCAACTTTTATTTTTCAAAATCACTTTTTTCTCAAACACTATCAACTTTTACTACTAATCACTTTTTCCAAATCACTCCAAAAATGTTTTTTTAGGCAGAAGCAGTTGCAAACACTCCCTAAAAGAGAGAGGGTCCATTTTATCATTTCAATTTTCAAATACCAAATTATATAGTGCCATCTTCTCCTTCACACTAATTGTAATATATATCTAAACGTTCGAAAGCAACATAAATTAATAGAGTTAAAGTACGCAGCTTGAGCTTAAATTAAAGAGATGAGATTGTAATCTTTTTTGAAAGAAACAACGGCTTATATTAATACTCCGTATTATCAAGATTCTCATCGTTACATCAAACTCAAAAAGAGCAACACAGACAACAATTATCTCTAACCAACTATCACTATCAACAGGGGCGGATATAGGATTTCGGAGACCCTAGACAGAAAAGTACTTACCATACAAAAATCACATTCAAAAGAGATAAATTGAATAGAAAAAACTGCATATGAAAAAGCATATCAAAGTGTACGATATAATATTTTTAATATTCAAAAGGATAAGGTTTTAAATATATTAATGCAAACATATGCAAAATATATCGCAGACTTGTACTTTTGATACCCTATTGACCTATCCTTCTTGCCTTTTGAACTGCAAAATCAGTAATAACATCACTGCAATCAAGACTGGCTAACACTTTTTTCTCAATAGATAATATAGCTAAGCCACTTAATCTATCTTCTGACATGGTTGATCGTAGATAGTTTTTAATAAGTTTCAACTTTGAAAAGCTTTTTTCTGCAGTAGCCACTGTCACCGGAATAGTCAACAAAATTTTGTAAGCAATCCAAGTATTTGGAAAAGAAATATGCATATCTTTTATGTACTACAACACTTCAATCACTTTTGTTGCACATTCCGGTAAGGATTTTCCAAGCAACTGTAGTTCCGAAAATAGCTCAACTGCGTCAATATCACAATCATCCCCATGTTTCAAAAACGTGCTAAGCGTGTCACAATAACTCATCAGTTGCTCATCGCTAAGTCCCTTCAACTTACTTATGTCATACAAGAATCCAAATGTATCCTCGTATTTTTGAAACTGCTCGAATCTAGTAGTAAGTGAAGATATAGCAGCATTAACAACAAACAAAAAGTAAGTTAACTTGAATACACTTTCTGCTGATTTTATTGGTTCATCCATTGCATTCTCATCGAAAAACTTCTTTTTGGTACGAGCGTTTCACGAAATTGGGGTTGAATATTTAATTCAATCGCCAATTTTTCAGCTTCAACTTTGGCTTTCTCAAATCCATCCTCTCTATAATCTTTAAAATATGCAACTAGGCCTTTCAAGAGAGTAATAGCTGAACTGACAATCATATCTTTTTATTGAAGGACATTGCTAACTTTATTTACCTTGTTAAGTATCTCGTACCAGATTACAATAGCAACAAGAAAATCAAAGTTCATTTCATACTCACATATGGACCTTGCATCACTCACAGTGCTAGGATCGTTACTACAGTTGGTCAAGTGCTCTAATGCTTGTTTTATCTGTGGCCCTTGAAACCTGACAGCCCTCACACTAGCAACACGACTTTCCCAACGTGTATCTGACCATGATTTAAGAGTGAGACCACTTCCTTCACCGTCTTTAAGGTAAATCTTGAGAACCTCCCATCGTTTGGTTGACCCTACATTCAAAGATATTTAATCATAAAAACGATATTGTTAAAGTTAGTTAGTAATTAAAAAAAGTAATAAAAAGTATTGAAATGTAGTAAATAAATCACAAAGTTACCTGAAAATAATTTATAGATACGTTGCACCACACCAAAAAATGTTTTTGCTTGTGTACAACTCATAGCCATATCACAAAGGGCAAGGTTCAGAGAATGACAACCACAAGGAGTATACAATGCTCTCGGATATTCTCTTAACACCCTAGCTTGTACTCCTTTGTCATCTCCCTTCATGTTTGAACCATTATAAACCTTGTCCTCTTACATTATTAAAGTCAAACTCATGAATGTGAAGCAACTTTTTAAGTTCAACAAAGAGATAGCTTGTACTCCTTTGTCATCTCCCTTCATGTTTGAACCATTATAAACCTTGTCCTCTTACATTATTAAAGTCAAACTCATGAATGTGAAGCAACTTTTTAAGTTCAACAAAGAGAGCTTCACCAGTTGTCTCAATCACTTTAACAAATGTTAAGAAAAACTCCTCAATTCTTATAGGGCTTGCAGACACATTTATACACCTAATCAAAAGTATCATTTGCTCATCATGACTAACATCCGACGTGCAATCAAGAATAACAGAGAAGTACTTCGCACTCCGAATAACTTGAATGATTTTTTTTTAACTTCATTTGACAAAAGTTGTATCATTTCATTTTGAATACCATGGCCAAGATAATGATTTCGGATCTCTTTCTTCCGTATCCTCCTAAGATGCTCTTCCATTATAGGATCAAACTCCGCAATCATATTAATAATCTTCAAAAAAAATCCATTATTTTCATCTGAAAGCTTCTCCCTATGGCCGCGGAAAGCTATGTTACAAGTAGCAAGAGTCTTCACAACAATCATAATCCTCTTTAAAACAGCTCTCCAATACTCCTTCTCTTTATTGATAGCTATATCTCGAGAAGCATCAATAGTTCCTTTTTTTAACCTCACTTCCGCTTCCCTCCATGCTTCTATGTTAAGGATATGATCAAAGCTTTTTTCATGCTCAACAAGTCTACAATGTATGTTGTGTCAATCATTATAGCCTTGACCCGCATTCGTTAGAGGGCTTGACATCACACTTTTTTTGAATAACACACAACAAAAGCAAAAGACTTTGTCTTTTGACAAAGAGTAAACCAACCATGGTCTATCATATCTCTCCCCATTTCCCAAGCATCGAGTGTAAAGTTTGTCACTGAAACTCCTTTTCCTATCAACGGGATATTCAAGACCACTTATTCTTATAGGACCTCTCTCTACCAACAAATCTCTTTGGTTTTGAGATATGGGTGTTTTCCAATTTCCCGGGTCAAAGAAATCATATAATATCTCAGGCGTAGTGACTTGACCTACAGTTTCTTCGTCACTAACAATTACATTGTCCCTATGAGTATTAACATCCTCATTCTCTTCTACAATGTTTGCATTATTATTCTCATTCTCACAAACAACATTTGTATTGTCATTCTCAACAATACTTGAGGAAGAAGGATTTGTCTTAACATACCGATCCATAGAGCCGGCAAAGGATTGTAGAACCAAATCTCTCCTTGCCTTATTCTTTCTCTTCGTAGACCCCGAGTCAAATTTCCGCTTTCCCGTCATGATAAATATGCCTGATGACAATATTTATAGACAATACAAAGTAACAAAAATCACAAATAAATCAATTAGTATTAACTAATCAGCAAGCAGAAAACAATTGACAATGATTAAAACTTAAAAAAGAATTGACCTTTACTGCTTTATCACTATGCCTTTATTGCCTTTATTGATTCAATCATTCAATCAATACACTTTGTATACATCTTTATTCAATTATTAAAAAACTAGTGCAGTAGTGCTGTATGTATATAAGTATATTAATTGAATATTCAGTCAATTATTCCTAGCCACAGACCCACAATGTCGGTTAACCTTTCCTCCTTAGAATTTAGCCCCTTTACTGGCTTACTGCCATATGAGGAATACCAGCTTCTCACTTTGCCCAATTTAGCAATTACTCATTTAGGAGTGAAATTAAAGTACATAGATATAGAGAAATCACATATTTACACAGAAACACTCACAGAGGTCGGATTGTTGGAGTCAGAATAGGCTGTAGGCAGTCAACCGCAGAACAGAGATGGAGTGACAGTAGGCTGTGGCGGACTGGCGGTGGCCGGTAGGCACTTAGCGATTTAGCGGCGAGGTCTTCCACTCTTCGGCAATCGGCAGGCGGTAGTTCAGCGGTTGCTACTTGCTCAATTAATCGGCAATCGTTTCCACACTCGGAGAGTTAAACGCGCTTGGTTTGCAGTTCCCATAAGCCATGTCTCCCACAGGTTTTGAAGTTTATTACTACGTATTAATATAATTATTTTACCTAATAGTAATACTAATTTTTTTTTGGAGGCCCCCTTAGCATGTGAGGCCCAAGGAACTTGCCTGACCCAACTGCCCATATATCCGTCCCTGACTATCAACCCTACGACTAGACATAAAAACGATCACCGTTGAAAAAACAATATGAACCACTAATCACCAAATGGGTTTGACACAACATTCACTACCCATATGAATTCTTTTAAAGACATAATAGCTAACAGAATTGTCAATCACTATTGTAGGCCTAAACCGAAAAAATATCAACAAAAAGTAGAGCAATGTAAATAAATATAACGCGAAAATAAGATCATAAGAAATAAAATAACTGATAAAGGTTCCAAACTCTTTCCTCCGGATTTTCTTGAAACGTCATCTTCCAAACACTAGCACCTTGATTGCTCCAAGGCCTTCCTCTTCCACCAAACTCAACCAAAGAACATCAACGCCGCCACTTTTTCCATTTTAATTATGTAAGCTTGTCATATTTGTTTAGACGTTTATGTAAGGTTTTGTTTGAAGTGTGTCATAACACCATCATCGTCCATTGTTTGAATGTTCCTGTGCAAAAATAATTTGCTAGGGCAGGTTATTGGTTAGAAGTTAATGGACCTCCAACGCTTAAGTTGGTGATCGTTTATATGTAAAGCAAAGTAGTAAATTACAAATGAAACAAGTTTAAATGTACCACATTCTAGCTTCTTGGGACTTGTCTATGGCCTTAAGTTTTTTTTCTAACTTCTTATGCTCCATGTCTCGCGATTTCAATAATCCTGTATGGTTCTTCCTGTCTTGGAAGTGACGACTCGTTCCTTGGGTCTCGCATATGGTTTCTCAGACTTGTAGTCTTGCGTTTTTGAAGAGATTGACTTCCTATACCCCTTTTATATTAGACCTACATGTGCCAGGATCGTAAGTCTTCCTCTAGACGGATAAAGACTAAAGTCTTTGTTTGGACATCTTCAAAAAACCGATATGAGCATATCGCCAGTTTGCGGTACAACTTTGAGTCTTCATACAAACCTCTTCTGTATGCTCCAATAATGTTGGTAGAGATGTCACATTTCGGGATGAACACCTTTTCTTTGTAGAATATGTTCAAATATTCCATAAGGGGTTCGCCACGTCTTTGTGCAACTCGAACGAGACCACTAGGGTGTGTTTCCAATATCATGCTACTAGCGAATTGCTGGTTGAAGAGGTTAATGAGTTCAAAAAATGAGTCAATGTTGCCATCAATGTTGTGCCAAATCCCCGACACGTGCATGACTCTCTGTTCGGACTTGATAGAGATGACTAACACCTTTGCTTGTACTGTGTGACATGTTCTCCGGGTTCTGAGGTTCTGACAAAGGGATTTATAATTGGCATGACGAACTTATTTGGCAACTCCAAATTGTTGATTGAATTGCTGAAAAGTTACTCGACGTAATTGGGGATGTTATGTCCAATAATTGGGAAACTCCATGAATTCCGTTGATCTTTTATTACATTCGTCGTAGTTGTGCGAAGCTGTTCAAGAAGGTGTTTGTCATAGGATTCATCGGGTGTGAGACAGATGACATTGTGGGACTGACCATTTAAGTGGTTCTGATCTCCCCTCAAACAATCTGCCTTACCAGCTCTCTGTCAAGCCTCCCAAACAACCACACATTCAGAAACAAACGGGTCGCCGTTTCGTTCTCCACATTGCAGATTGGACAAACTCCCAAAACTTGCACATGTTTAACTCTCAAATCAACACATGCAGGTAGACCATTAGCAAGCTGCCAAAAAAATAATTTCAGTTTCGGTGGGATTCAAAACTTCGAAACCATTGTCCACCTAATCCATTTTGTTTCCTGAAGTTCACCCACTAGCTTCCTATAGCAGCTTTGGACCGAAAAAAATCTGTTGGCCTCATCGTTTCAACGATATCCATCTTCAACCCATTTTAACCTGAATGGTATGCTCTGAATTGCAAGAGCTTCCTCCTCAAAAAATTAACCATCGATTTGCTGGCCATTCCTGTTTTTCCCATCCTCTAAAACAAAAGATGCAACATTCATATCTCGAATACCTTCCAGGCGGGCTGAATGTACTCTACCCATACCCTTCCCCGGAAGCCAAGCATCCCTCCACACTGATATTTCCTTACTGTTTCCAACCCGACGTCGGGAACCTGCTACAACAACTCCTTGGGCCGCTCAGATGAAGGACGAAGGATTATTTCCTACCTTAGCTTAATCAAAGCTACTCATAGGTTTTACTTCATGAAGTTCTTATGAAGTAACCTCTATGTATAAAGATATAATGACATATAAGGAGTATAATATTAAAAAAAGATGCTTTGGCAAAAGTTTCACTTCTTATATATAGTGAATATATTACTAACTTTTAATTACTCTAATTATGTTTATTTTTAGTTACTCTGGTACATTTTTGCCCATGAGTTTAATTGAAGTAATATTTTAGGGAAATTGTCGTATATAAATTGTTATTATATATAGCGAATATATTACTAACTTTTGATTACTCTAATTATGTTTATTTTTAGTTACTCTGGTACATTTTTGTTCATGAGTTTAGTTGAAGTAATTTTAGGGAAATTGTCATATATAAATTTTTATTATATGCATTTATCCGTACTCCTCTGTGACTTATAATTTAGTCAAATTTGACTGCCATGTAAACTAACTAATCAGATAAAAATGTGGGGTTGAAGGTTATTTAGATATAAGAGAATTAATAAGAACCACAAATTAATTAATTAATTAATTAAAAACAAAAGTTGTTAAGTTTTGGAACGAACAAACAAACAAAGAGAGCTGACTAGGATTATAAGGGCGGAGAGGCCTCTATAATAAATTCTTTGAAAAAACAAATAAAATCAAAATTTATGATTCAAAAGTGTAGATCATAACATTTGACTGGAAATGAATTACTAGATATACAATACTACTTATTTCAAATCAAAGGTACTCAAACCTTGTACACGCAAAAACAAAATGAATGAAAAAAAACATTCAAGGGGTTAATTGTCCACCCTTAGAATCGACTGTGACTGCATGTATATATTTAATGCAGAAAGACATGTGGAGTGAAGAGGAAGATGAGATTCTTATCAAAGCTCACCTAGAAGTTGGTAACAAGTGGGCGGAAATAGCAAAACGCCTTCCCGGAAGAACAGAGAACTCCATAAAGAACCACTGGAATGCAACAAAGAGACGCCAATTCTCCCGCCGGAAATGCCGCACCAAATGGCCTAGGCCCAGTTCCCTCTTGCAGGTAATAATCATTACTCATATAATTCATATGTAATATGGATCGATTTTGATTCAACTGAGAAGTAGTATAGTAGGTCTTATAATAAAAATGTGAACTGATAATGAGACGATTTGCTAGCTCATTTTAACAAAATGGTTCTATTTTTTTTTTATAAATTCTCGTAGACTGCATCCATGAAAAGTGCATCGTTATACGTAATACAACATTGTTTTACATGTAAAACGCAACATTATGTGAATTGGAAAAATTACTCCCTTAAATTGAAAATAAGCAATCAAATTTATTTGTATTTTGTGTGATGGAGAGAGTAATAATGATATAATTAGGCTGGATTGATAGAAATATAGAACATTATCATATACCAAGTATAATTAATTAAGTGCCATTGGTCTATTACTCCCTAAAGTGTGAGACCCTGCAGGCTCCCCTAGCCACAGAAATGCCCAAGATATCCCCCGCCGGCTCGTGTCATCTAACTGTCTTAGAAGGGCACTCAATCCCTCTGCCACAAGGATAAATAGATAGGTGGAAAAGGCCCCCTGCCTTATCCCTCTCGAAGGCGTAACTGACCTTATAAAATTTCTGTCAAAAGGATATAATATTCCACATTCACAACACACTCCTTCATAAGATTAATCCATCTTTGGTCAAAATGCAGTAATTCTAGCATCGTTTCAAGGTATTACCATTCCCGTATATCATAGGTCTTACTCATATCTTCTAGTTTAAGCGCTATTTTCTTAAAACATGAAGAGATTCATAAGCCACCATAATATTATGCGCGATTAACTTGTTCGGTACAAAAGCACTATGTTTTTTTATATAAGACCTTTTAGGAAAACCTTTATGCGATTAGCCAGGACTTTTGAAAAAAATTATAAACAACATTGCACAGGACAATAGTACGATTTACCTCCCTTGGGATAACTCCTGTTGAGAACATCTTTTGACAAAAAGCAGCTATGTCGTCCCCCAAAATATCCCAATAGTGCTGGTGGCATTCCGGGTCTAGACCGTCTAGGCAAACATAGCTCTCTTGTTTAACCACATTATGAAAGAACTTTGTATTTGTGTCCCCTTCTTTCAACCGGAATTTCTTTGCCCATTTTTGCCATAATTTATTTTGTTTATAAAGTAAACAAATTTACAAAGCTTTTAATTATGTAGTTGAATTCTCCCACGTCACAACTCACAACTGTTTCCCACACTACGAACCGAGCACCACTAATTCCTTATCGAGCCGAACTCGAGCTTTAGGTGGTTGGGCTCGGCAACAGCCCTAGTTTGCACACCTTAATTCTAGCCTGAAAACCCACAAATGTGTTGTTACTCTACAAGCTTAAATCTCGGCCACAAGCTTCCAACCTCTGCCAAAGCGCCACCAAGGTTCATTAGCTTCAATTCTCACTTCACAATAAAAGCTCATAGCCGAATTTACAACAATTATCTCTACCGACCGACCCTACAATAAACATATGCCACCACTGAAACTTTCACTGTGAATAGCAAAACAATTGTTATTATCTCACACATTCAGCCACCATCCGACTTTGTTTCTTGTCTTTAAACAGATCAAGCCAACCACGCTCATCGATCTTCTAGTAGCTAAAAAAAATCCAAAAGCACTCTCCTGCCGTCTCACAACCTTACGGAATAAAATGCCCCTCTCGAACAGAACAAAAAACGCCCAAACTGTAACTAAACATTCACAGTTCAGCCAGTAAAACCAGAAGAAAAGAGACCGAGTTGGTAGCAAAACCTACCAGGGAACGAGACAAGTCGTCGGTCGGGTAAGCCTCACTCGAACCTTTGGTCCAAAAACACAAGCCTCCATCCACACTCACTCACCGAACAACCTCTAGCCCGGATACGATTCCAACCCCAAACCAATGCTAGGCACCACCGTATATCTATTCCTCTACTTTTACAACTTTCCATGAAACCTTAAAATATTACTCCGCATGGAGTATAAAATAAAAAAAATAAAAAAAGACTACAACTCTGATACTCATTTAAAAAATGAAATACCCTACTTACCACAATACCACTCACATGACATGATTGGTACCGTACACATGTTTGTTGTACACCCCGGTTACACCCTATTTATTTACTATATTCCGTCCTCTTTCTTTCTTTCTTTTTTTCCTCTTCTTCTCCTTTGCCATCTACACCCCGGTTACCACTGTATATCTATTCCTATCTTTTTACAATTTATTCAAACTCCATCCTCACACTCTTCTCCCATCATCATCCTCACCATTACTTTGTCAATGCACCAAAAAACTTTATGTTTGAGAATAATCGGAAAGTCATCGGAAAAATAGAGTCGACGTAATTTTTGTCTATGTGGTATATGAAGTTGTATGTATGGTGTTGAGTAATGAACCCACTAATGATTTGTATTGTCTATATCGAAACACGAAACTGAAAAACTAGTAACATTTTATTAAAAAAAATCATCGGGAAAAAAAATGTACTATGCAGACACTGGTTTTCTTCTAGTGGCTATACACACACACAAAAATGTTGTAAAAAGTCAGGGTTAGGTTGCACTGGAACAATTGTCTGTATAAATAGACAAAAATGTATATGTGCAAACATTTTTATGTGTGTACAGCCAACTACTCCCTCCGTCCCAAAAAATGTTCCCGGTTTTCTTTTTGGACCGTCCCAAAAAATTGTTCCACTTTCCCCTTTTAGAAAGTTTTTTGTGACTACAATTCATTTACTTTTTTCTTACTCAACCACAACCATACATTTCCACTTTAGGCTAAAGGGTCAAATGGGTACATGAACTAACTTTAAGTGTTCAATTAGCCCCTTATATAGGAGGTTCAGCCCGGCCATCGCCTATTGGGGAGGTTCCCGGTTGAATTTTTTGTTGAAATTTTTTGAGCATCTTCTTCATTAAGTCTAGTTTACCCATACCAAATTTCAGCTAAAAATTCAACCGGGAAGATAGTCAAATGATTTTCCGAAATGTATTGTGATGTTTAACTGTGCAGTTATGTTCAAAAAATCATTTGACTGCCTTCCCGATTGAATTTTTAGCTGAAATTTGGTATGGGTAAACTAGACTTAATGAAGAAGATGCGCAAAAAAATTCATCAAAAAAATCCACCGGGAACCGCCCCAATTGGCGACGGACGTGCAGAACCTCCTATATAAGGGGCTAATTGAACACTTTAGGTTAGTTCATGTACCTATTTGACCCTTTAGCCTTCCACTTTATTCCCACTTTCTTAAAATCTGTTCCAAGTCAATGCGGGAACAATTTTTTGGGACGGAGGGAGTAATGTTTATGGACATGCACAAACATTGATTTTGTGCAACCACCTTGACATTTCTGCAAAAAGTACGGCAATCAATGTGATTTACACGCAAAATAATGTCTGCTTACACAGACATTAGTTGTGTGTGTGTAACATTTTTATTTGTGTACATAGACAATTTAACCCTACTATTAGTTTTCTAGACACTTTTTTGTCTGTACAGATGACTAATGTATGTGTACAAAGACATTGATTTCCATGTAACCAGTGGCGGATCTTGCAACTAAATGTTGGGTGTTCGAAATTACTTTACCTTTAAAATGTCATCTAATAGCACAATATATAAATTATTACATCAATTCTATACATGTATTTTACACTTGAGGTCTTTTCATGTCCAGCCGGCCTAACGGGAACCGTCGTCCGGCCGAGGGCATTTCGGGCACTTACCGGTGGAATTTTTTGATGAAATTTTTTGGGCATGTTGTTCATCAAGTCTAGTTTAGCCATACCAAAGTTCAGCTCAAAATTCGATCGGGAAGGCATTCAAATAATTTTTTGAACTTGACTGGGTTTTTATATGTATACTTTGACGCAGTCAACTTCAAAAAATTATTTGAATGCCTTCCCGGTCTAATTATGATCTGAAATTTGGTATGGATAAACTAGACTTCATGAAGAACATGCTCAAAAAATTGCATCAAAAAATTCCATCGAGAAGTGCCCGAAATACCCTCGGCCGGACGGCGGTTCCCGTCAGACCGACTGGACAAGAAAAAGACTTTTACACTTAATTTTCAAAATTTTGGGTGTTCACATGAACACCCCTGAATAAAGAAGGTCCGCCCCTGCATGTAACCACTCTGACATTTCTGCAAAAAAGTATGACAATCAATGTTTTTTATACGTAAACCAAATGTTTGTGTATACTGCACCAAATTATTTATATTGATAAACTAATAATCCATAATAAGAGTAAAACATGGACCAAGGTCACTTAATTACGTAGTATGTTTTATTTCTACGATTAAGGAGGAAAGAAACAATTACTCTTCAAAACATTGAAATCACTGTTGGTTGAAAAAGGAGGAAAGAAACAATTAAATTTTTCTTTAAGGAAGGAATGTGTCCTAGTGTTGAAAAGAAACACTAGGGGGCTATTTACTAGAAAACTGGAAAAAAGAAAATGGAGAAAGGGTTTACCGAACAAGTTTGCTGCAAAATTGGAGAAACGAAAAAAAGGAAAATGCGTTTACCAAATCATTTTCCAAAACAAAAAAATGATATATGTCTCTTTTTTCCTTAATAAATTAGAGAAGTTTTACTAGTTTTTCAAATTTGAATTATGTGGATGTTGCAGTGATGATGCAATGAACTTGCATACTTACGCTTAGTGGTGGACCCGGATCCGCTCCAGTCTTGGTATCAATCTGGTCCGGTCGATGATTAGTCGGTCCCGGTCTGGTTCGGTCGATGATCGGACGGTCCTGTCTAGTCCGATCAATGATCGGACGCTTCCGATCCTATCAATGATCTGGCGGTCCCTGTCAACTCCCGTCGATGACCTGACGGTCTGGTCCACATTTTTTAAAATCATCTTTTCAAAGTGGAAAGTTTCAAAAGAGTCATTGGCCTGCCAACCAATATGGATAAAGAAAAAGAATTAGTCAAATTAGTCATTGGGATCGACCAGCACCGGCCAGTTTCACTCCCAATTTTCATATACCCGGAATCAGGTACCCTTTTTGGGCTGTACAAGGTCCGGTTCCAGATCAGGACCGTATTTTCGATCTCCCGTCCGGTCCGAGAAACGGGTGCATTTTTTAATAAATGTGTTCTCAAATTTGAATATGGAAAACTAGAAAAATGAAAACAGAAAATTGAAGATAGAAAAACTGGAAAAATAAAATGGAAAATTGGAGAACGAAAAATATAAAAAAGAATTGGAAAAAATGTCTCTATTAGTAAACGGGCACCCATGATTCCGCTTAAGAATATTTGTTATATTGGGCAATTCATAAGTTACTTTATAAATTCCTTCAAAAAAAGCGTCTTTATAAATAATTAAATAATAGAAATTGATCAATTAATTAACTAACCATACATAAAGTTCAAAAACAAGATTAAGAATATGATTATGTTCCCTAAATAGGACTTAGATAGTCCTATAAAAAGAATAAATTGATTAAAACTTGGGAAAGTTCCTGAAATATGAGTGAACAGGTTTTGGAATTCCAACATATGATTGTTATGTTTTTCTTCCCGAAACAGGGGTAACATGAGTACGACAGTGTTTACTGGCATCTTGGAGTCATTACTGCCAAATTAGTTGTAGTACTAGGCATTAACATGGCAATACTTACTGCCATTAATGTCAGTGTTTTTCAATAATGGTAGAAAACTCTTATTTCGGAAAGAAAAACATAACAGTCATATTATCAAATTTTAGAACATGTTTACTCCTATTTAGGACAATTTCACAGAACCTGATATTTCTGTTGATCATATTTATATTTATAAGAAGAGTGAATTACCTAACTAGGCGTAAAATGTAGCTATAAAGCACAAATAGGACTGCATTGTTTCAAATTCCCCAGCAGGCGTAATTATGTGTGTTAAAAAATATATACCCTGTAGCTCTATGAACTAAAATACATATGTAATAAAACTAATAAAAATAAAAAATGAGAAAAATAAAAAATTATAAATTAAAAAATCAGAAAAAAATATAAAAAACAAATAAAAAATTAAAAATAATAAAAAGCGTAAAACATTCATCTCCGCCCCTACCACCCCCAACACCACCACTCCGATCACCGGGGGAAAATGCGAACATGCATTAGTAATGCCATGTTGATGGTTGTTTCAATGAAAATTTAGGCATTAATAAATAGTAAAATGATATTTTCTAGGCCTTTTCAGAAAAAATGGCTCACCGATCGGCAGTGGTGATGCTGGGAGGCAGTAGATGCGGTGGGAAAGGTATCCATATCTTTTATGGGTTTTAACTAATTTTTATTAATTTTTACTTTTTTTATTTTTCAATAAAAATAAAAAAAATTATTTTATAAATATTTTATCAATTTTTTTTATTTTTTTAACTGTATTTAGCATTTTACTTTGTTTATGAATTAAAACATTCTACTACGAATTAATACTTTTAGAGGTATTTAGGGTAGAAAATTAATGTTTAGTCTTATTTGTGAATGATTTAGGATTTAGTACTATTTTTGAAATTAAGTTTTCCATTTAGTCTTGTAGGTCAATTTTTATTATAAGAAAGTTATAGTGAGAATAACGATAGAATGTATGTAGGTAGTTATGTACATTATCCTTAGCTTTGTTGACTGATGCATGCAGAACTACATTAAGACAGTCCTTGATTTGGAGAAACATGGGGGTCGCGGTGGAGGTCGAAAAAAGTCATCAACTGTGGTGTTGGCGCAGCCACCAAAGGCGGAGCCGATGGAATACTACGGCGCCGGAGACCAGAACTTGGTCCCGGCGGATTATACCTTTGGATGGGAGGAGAAGTTTTTGGGAGGAAACGGAATGGAGTGTTTTATTCCAGATGGGGCTCTAGTATTGGATGAAAACTGCATGGGTTATGACCATATCCCTCACATCATGTTTGGAGAACCAAAAGAGCTCGATTTGATGGACATGATCTCTCATCATGTCAATCTTTGATTCATTTCTTTTGTGGCGTATAAGCATGAGGCATATACAACTGAGCTCACAACGAATTGAGAACAACTTATAAATATAGAATATACCTCCAATGTTTTCTTACTTAAAATATATAGTGCATATTATAACATATTATAGACACACAGAAACTACGTTACTGAAATTTCTCTTACATGCTTTCCATGATTTTCTATATTTTAATTTATTTTTACTAATAATGTCAATCACAACATCTACATCTAGGCGTTCCTCTTGACATTCTCGGGAAATAATTGCAAAAAATTGATAAGACTATTCAAATTAGGAGAGACATATTACATTAATTAATTTTTATGTATCTCTCTCTCTTTGCACCATGCTCATTGTTTCAATGGAAGTGCTCTTACAATCCACATCCATGCATTTTTTAGGGTAATTATCTCTTTATTAAAAAGGTAAAAATACATAGTAGGGGGACGCGTTGCCAAAACCTACCGAAATTACACAACGTACGGGTAGCTAATTGCATCAATTTTGAGAATACCCTGAAATTTTGTGTAAACGTTTGGGCTACTAGTAATTGAATTTGCGTTAATCGCAACAAAATAAGCCGCCCTATTACACAATTTCTTAATGTAACAATAGTCAAAATGAACATAATGACAGATTTTTTGTAGGCCTGAAGGTTTGCAATCGTTGTCCACCCCGGGCTTTCAGTTCCTTGAATAGTCTTGAGTACCTGTAATCTGTCACTCTCAAGAATGATGTTAGTGTATCTATTATCTTGAAACAGATTTTTCTGTCGGATAATAATATCACAAAAGATGGAAGTGTAGTCTGACTGAATATGATCGTTGAACTGATAATGTATCATGTGATTCATGTTCCCCTGGCTATCCCGAATGATCATTCCAGTAATAATGTTCCCATCCCTTGTAGTTGCTATGGCAATGTTAAGTTTGATACAGTTGGCAAGAGGTCTCGCCCAGCTAAGAACCTGGTGGGTATGTTTTTGGGCTTTCAACTTGGGTTTAATGATCTGGATGTCGAGAATGGGCGTATTAGTGGCTTTGGTGACAAAAGGTTTGGCCCTACTAGCATCCCGAATCTCCTTATTGATAATATCTATAGCCTCAGAAATTAAGATATCAGTATCATCATATATGTACCCATTTCTTCTTTTCCAAATAATCCAACAAATGTAGATAGCAACCTGGCTGTTAAGATTTTCAAAATCGTCTTTGGCAGTGAACCAATGATTTAAAATGGAATTTAGAGACGCACTGTTATGATTCCCGATATGAAGAAGGTTACTGTAATGGATCCAAAGTTTCCTACTTAGATCACATGAGGTATAACAGTGGTCTCTTGTATCAAAATTATTGCAAAAGGGACATTTAAAGGGGCCATGACTGCCAAAGAGATGCAATTTTTCCTGAAAAGGTTGCAAGTTGTTTATCACCTTCCACATGAAGAAAGAAATTTTAGTAGGAATGTTTTTATTCTAGATGTTCAGAACGCTATTATGCAGGCCTTTTTTAGGGCTTATTTCCTCATAGGCACTTCGAAAGGAGTAGGATCCTACGGGAGTAAGGGTCCAAACCATGGTGTCATTGGCAGAAGAGAAGTGATGAGTAGTACAGTTGATGTTATTAAGAATGTGATCAGGCAAAATAGCCTGAATATCCTGGAAAAAAAGAGGGGTGATGATAGGCTTCTTTGACTGTCATTTGAGGGTGTAAAATGTCCTCATTGTTGGAGTGGTCCTTGAGCCTGCCAAATTCAGACCAATTAGAATCCCAAAAAGAGGATTGACCATTACAAATCACAAGAGTAGTAAGACTATCAAAATCATGTTTGACCTTCGCCAAACCTTTCCACATATAAGAATTCCGGGGGTTTTTTAACTTAGAAAAACCAAAGACCCCATAGACCAGCATTATTTGTAGCTTTCCATAAACACTTAATATAGAAGCATTTTTGAATTGTGAAAATATTCCTGAAACCCAAACCATTTTTGTTAACAGGATAAGTGATCCTATTCCATTTTCTCCAAATATGACGTTTATTAAAATCAGCATTATACCACAAAAATCTAGAGCATTTTTGTTCAATAGTTTGAAGAACAGTTTTCGGGATAATAGCAATGGCCATATGATACAGGGGGATAGTGGTGAGCACAGATTTAATGAGGGTAATACGACCACCAGGGGTTAAAAATTTATTTTTCCAACCAGCCAACTTTTGGTCAACCTTAAAGACAATGTTATCAAAGTGGCAAATCTTAGGTCCTCCCTGGAAAATATTTGCACCAAGATAAGTAAACGGGAATGAACCTTTCTGGATACCAAAAAAATTCAGTGTTCTTAATTGTGGCTTTAAGAGCATGTTTACCACATATGTAAAAACTTTTAGTAGTATTAATTTTCTGACCAGAGTACTTTTCATAGTCTTGGATGCAAGCATTCAAAGCAGTGAGAGATCTTTTTCCCGCATTAGAAAAAATAACCAAATCATCCGCGTAACTGAGATGGGAAATAATAGGCTGACCTGGATAAGTATGAAAAGGAATGCACTTACCTTCCCTGAACAGTTTCTTACATTGTCTGGAGAGAACTTCTGAAACGAGAATAAACAGTAAAGGGGAGAGAGGGTCACCTTGTTTTAATCCCCTGTTAGGCTTGAAAAAACCTCCCGGCTGCCCATTTATTAAAACGGAGAACCAAGTGCTCTCAAAGTTGTTTTGAATGAGGTTTATGAAGTGAGGGTGAAAGCCAAAAACACGTAAAATATCATACATGAAACCCCCAAGTCATTCTATCAAAAGCCTTTAACATGTCAAATTTAAATAAAATGTTGTGACCTCTATTTTTATGATCAATGCAATTAATCGTCTCTTTAAGCATTAAAATACTATCGCTGATTTCTTTTCCTTTTTGAAAATCTGTCTGGTTCTCACAAATCAACTTAGGAATGATTTTGGTCAATATTGTTGTTAAAATTTTTGTAAAAATTTTGCAAATAAAGTTAGTTAGACTAATAGGTCTGTATTTAGAAAATTGAGTAGCATTTTGCTCTTTAGGAATAAGATAAATCAGAGTGTGACCAATGGATTTGGGGATGTGGACCCCACACACATATTCATTCACAGCCTGCAAAAGGTCATTTTCAATAATATGGTAACAATTTTGATAGAATTTACCATCAAATCCATCAGAACCTGCACCGTATCGGGGTAAGAAAGACAACTTCAAATTCAGGCAATGAGACGTGTGAAACAGGTCCGAAATGCCACAACAGATCAAATCATGTAAAATTATCGAATAAAAGAATCTAATTGATTGCATGCGAGGTTGAACCTGATCGAGCTTCAAACCCTACCCTCCGATATCAGATTTGATCTGAGCACGAGAGAGAAAACAGCCTTTTTAACTTCCTGGGAGTTAACCGAAGCAATCAACAAAGCATTATCCCGCTCAGAGATAGACTTAGCAATGACCTCAGTAAAAGTAGGGGCATTGATGTGGTTGTATTCATTGGTGTCAGTGAGCAAGGCTTGGAAGTATTTCACAGCTTCCTCCTTGATCTCATTTTCATCTTCTATTTTAACAGCAATGACCACATCCATGCATTTTAATGTTCCTTCCTATAGTCTTTCATTATAAAAAAACATATTGATGGCTACACTGGAATACCGCTAGCGGTATCTAGAAAGAAAACAAAGATAACGAGTAGAGAGAAAGATATTTGATAGTAAATGAGGTTCCCTTTGAGCCAATGGATTTTTCCTCATTAAATCCTTGTACACTTTATTAATTCGCTTCACCAATTCCTTGTGCACTCAAATTACTCATGTGCACCATAGTTAATTCGTTAAATCCATAGACTTTTTATGAATGAATTCTATGGACTTTTAAATCCATGAATAAGTTTATTGACTTTCAAATAGTCCATAGACTTTTAAATGCGGACCACCACTGTTGGTCGTCAGAACTTTCACCTAGATCGCTGCTACCTATCTGCATGTCCGCCTCCGTCACCGGAGTTCCCCGCTGTCGTCATCGGACTGATCCGCCACCAACAAAATGACTTTGATTGTGAAAGGAAACTAAGGACAATTAATATGTAATATTTAGTCCTATTTAAGGAAAATCAAACATATGATCATACATTAAGAAAAATGTTATCTTTTAGTACTACCGTGAGTATTTTCCTCTGTATAATACGCGGTATGATAAGAAACAAACAAACAAACAAACAAACAAACAAACAAATAAATAAATAAATAAATAAATAAAACAGATTTTATTCATATAGTAACACAGAGTTCGACAAGAATAAATGAAGCATGAGAATCCAAATTTGTTTTTATGAAAAAAAACTCAAAAATTCAAGAATGCTCAAGAATTTTGGTCATTTTATTAATGAATAACAATATTAATCATTACACAAGTGTTACACTCATTGCTGTATGCAGTACATGTAGGGATCTTCCACCTTCTTTCTTGGAAGTTGCCAAGAGGCACCTTAACATGGAAGCACCTTCTTGGAAAGAGCTCTCCAACAAATAGGTATGAGAGAATATATGGAGAAGATGGAAGCACTACCTCTTGTCTCCAAACCAACCCTATAAATAGAGTGTTCTATTGTTGTTCATAATATCAATTTAGAAAGTGAGAAAAGTGTGTGAAGAGTGAAATACACTTAGAGTAGAAGTGTATTAGTGAGAAATGGTTTTTTGTAATAGTTGAGTGTGAGAGTTTGCTCCTCCTATTGTAATTCTGTTCTTGATATTGAATAGAAGAATTTTCCAATCCCAACAAGTGTGTTGAGGCTTATTCCTTCAATCCGCAGGCCCAACACGTAAGCCTATGGATTTTGAGTGGATGGTGTATGCAAATATTAGATAATAGCAAGTAAGATGGGCTTAGAGATGTATGCAATAGTGGGCCGAGTGTTCTTATTGAATGGTGATAAGGACTCGTTACACTTCACTAAAGCTTGTAGCCGGTGGCCGTTCGTCTGACCACTCAAACAGAAGAGCTGCGAACAATGCTAAAGCTATAAGAATGCTAGAATGCTAAGGCGGGTAAGTTTCCAACTATTTACAATGAAATAAATGTTACTATTTGTACTATCAAGGGGCAGTTGAATATGCTGATGTGGAGAGCTGTGGATGGTTGAGGTCCC